ACCCATAGACGGCCGTATGGTTTTAGGAGTTTTTCATCAACAAAAATGTCGTTTTCGCTACAGTGAAACGTCATTTTTTCTCATGTTGACGTGAAAAATAGAGTTTTGAACATCTCCAAAACTACTTCGTTTTTTGACATCAGTTCGTGTTTTTTTGCGACGCAGCACTTTTTTTCCTTCTTCTCAGAAGCGCTTCATTGCTTTGACGGCCTTGCAAAGTTCTTCGAGAAATCGGTGAGGTGTCAATGGTCCCAAAGATTTTCGCCAACAGTAACCCAAGACAAACTTTTCCAATTCAGGGTGTTCTTTTGTGCAAGAGAACATAACAATAACGTAGCATGACCTGTGTGTGCAAGTTGACATGAACGTCATTGCCCCACCCCACCCCACCCCACCCAACCCCACCCCAAGATAACCATAGCGTAGCATGACGTGTGTGAGCAAGTGCAAGAGAAAATAACCATAACGTAGCATGACACGTGTGTGCAAGTGCAAGAGAACATAACAATAACGTAGCATGACGTGTGTGTGTGCAAGTTGACATGAACATCATTGCCCCACCCCACCCCACCCCAAGATAACCATAACGTAGCATGACGTGTGTGTGCAAGTGCAAGAGAACATAACAATAACGTAGCATGACGTGTGTATGCAAGTTGACATGAACATCCCCACCCCACCCCACCCCACCCAACCCCACCCCAAGATAACCATAACGTAGCATGACGTGTGTGTGCAAGTGCAAGAGAACATAACAATAACGTAGCATGACGTGTGTGTGTGTGTGCAAGTTGACATGAAAGACCATCAAAAAACGAAAAATTGCCAAACAATGCTTAAAACACCACGGCCGTCTATGGGTCGGGCTCCATCTACCTAGACACTCCAAGTATGTGTTTTGTTTTTTTTTATTTATGGTGATTTACCAATTTTGACCTCATAATTTTGATAATTACGTATACTCGTACCACTTGTTTGGTATTTGGAGGGTCTATGTATTCATAGGGAATTCTCTGGAATTTGAGGCAGTTTTTCTCTGTGTTGAAGGTCGTTTCCCAAATCGAACATTGAAACATGAGAATTCCCAACTCCCCCATGGTGTCAACCCGAAACAGAAGTAGCTGAATTGGGAAACCAGCAAAAGTAGCCGCAAGAATATAAATAATCTGAAATAATATGTCAACATGATCTTATATTTTGGTTTTTATCATTTACATAATCTCATTATAAGACTGATATTCTATGATATTATGATTTACATATTAATCCTTTTATATGAATGATAATGAATGATAATCACCTGGAATAATATATGTACATGTTATATTCTATGGATTATTACATTAGATTTATACCCATTTTGGGATACCCATTTATAATTTGTTATTATTTACATAATCTTCATTATACCTAATATACATATTCATCTTAATAAATCATATTGAACTATATTCATTATTATTTATATTATAATTAATGACAATCATTTTATTCTATGCAGGTGTCCTATGGCTATCCCAAATCATCCAGTCGTGTCCGCGAACGGCGAACGCCAGACACCACAGTGGCCTCAGACCTGGCAAAAGGCGCTGGGAGATGCTGCAGGTTGAAGATACTTTGACATGACGTGATTCAACCGTTATGTAGTGTAATATGATTTAATATGTAGATATATAAATTAATATTTAAAATTATTTAATATGATTTAATATGATTTAAAGACAATATGATTATATATATATAATTGTATATACTATGTAATTATATATATATACATGTACTAAGTGTATATATATATATACTAAGTGTGTATATATATACTACAGTAAAATGTTTACATAGACTATTTTACTGTGATAACCTTGACTATTCACTATGGTTTGAATTTATGTAAGTGAAGCAATGGTAAACCATTCCCAAATTGACCGTAAACGAATTGTATAAACCATCAGCATTATAGGCTTAGGTGGTTTTATTATTACTTTACTAACATGAAATAGGAAGGCTGTGGTATCCAGTTGAGACAAGGACATGATTTGGGTTCCTCAGAACAGCCTGGCAATTTTGTGCAGTGCCAAATCCCCCGCGCAGTTACCCCAAGACGTGCAGATGATCCTGTCGCACGTGCATCCTGGCGTCCAAGCGACTGGAAAATGGGGCTATTGTCCATTGCAAAAGGTTGATTTCTGGCGGGTACTATCTGAGATGTTCTGAGATGTGAAGTACAGCCAGCAACAAGATTTTTCATGTTGCCTAGTGCAATTGCGCTGGGGATGGAACTTTCTGGAACTTTCATGAAAGGGTATGGGCCATTGCATTGATATGCGCACAACCTGGGAGGATCGGGTTTGTGCTTGGATGGGATGCTTGGGATTTACCTGGTCACCTGGTTGGTGCTTTGGAGAACTCATTAATTGTACTGGTGGGTGGCTCAATGAACTCAACCACCAACCAGTTTTTTGCTTTGGGATCAGGATTGAGATACCCTCTGGTTATTTAACATAGCCATGGTATAGATGGCCCATTTATAGATGGTTTACCTATTAGAAATGGTGATTTTCCATGGCGAACTGTTAAATAACTAGAGGGTATTTCCGTTAGATCCAACGATTGTCTTTCCTCTCTGGATATTTAAGGCAGAAATGGAGAGATAACCGTAGATAACCTTGTCATTTTCTGGAATCAGTGTGTGATTGAAAAAACCTGTACCTGGTTGGTGAATGAGTTTGTCCAAACATGGGGATACACCCAAAAAAAATCAAAAAAAAGGCAGTTTTTTCATAGGAAGAGTGATGCGGGCAGCCATGTGATTTCGGAAGGTGTCCCATATTCTGAATGAGAAAAACCCAAACAAAGAATCTTCCTGATAGATTTCCCAGTTGCTGGATTACCACGTGGACTACCGAATCTCTGTTCCATAAGTGGATCATGTGGTGAATGAGAACATGGATGTCTGGAGTATCTTTAAATTTCTTCGTCAATCTTCATCGATGTGGTAAACCCGCTATTTTTAGCCATCTCATTAACCAACCATCAAAGGGGGCGTCAGGACTTTCATCATCCCAGTTCATTCAAGCCCCTATGAATCATAAACCTCAAACTTGGGGATGGTGACTATTTGAGTAAATCCCACATCTGGTCGGTGGTTTGGAACATGAATGGATTATGACTTTCCCATCATATTGGGGTCATGGAAAATCATCCCAACTGGTCCCCATGATTTTTCAGGCTAGGCCTCAACCACCAAGCAGTGAATCATTTGATGTTGCGATTTTGGCCGCATGGGGATTGCTCTCCCCACGGTCCAACTCCTCGAGGTATTCGGGACTGGAGCCCTGAGAGGCCGATCGACTGGGACATGTTTCGACGGGATGGGTTGGTTGGATTCGTGGTACCAGGTGAATTATCAAACATGAATGGTTTATAAACCCCATGAATACATATGAATACTATATAGTTATTTGCGTACCATAAACCATAGTGAAATTGGAGTTATGTTCACCAACTTAACTATCGTTTTTTTTGGGCACCACTTTGCAGGTAGTGAATTATGAAACATGAATCCACTAAGCGGAACTATAAGAACATTAATAATTGAATAAGCGAATCCCCCGAATCCTAAGCCAAATTACATAGTTTTCATGTTTTTATTTCACGTGGTAGGCTACCGCTGCCATGCTTTTTCATCCTATTTGAAATGGGGTATATACCCCATTTATCCCCATTTCATAGACCCCAAGTCAAATTGGGTAATTATCATTTGGTTGGTGGTTTCAAACATTTTTTTATTGTCCATAATATATATATGGGATAATGCTTCCCATTGACTAATATTTTTCAAGATTGTTAAAACCACCAACCAGTCATTATTGGGCTACCTCATTTGCTTCCGAAACCATGGGTTGATTTAGCAACTTTGATGTTGAGATCATCTCGAACATGGCCGGGTTTTTTCGCCCCATAGGTGTTTTGCCCAAAAATTGTGTGTGCTAGTAATGTGAGTTCCTTGACGATTTCGTGCTTTATGGTGCCTTTTACACGTCGTCGTTTTTATCATCTTTTGACATTGGGGTGTCGCGGTGTCTCCATGAAATGATTGTGCCCGGCCTGGTAAACATACAAAAAACTCTGGAAATTCACCATGTTTCATGGGTAAATCCACTATTTCGGCTGGGCCATTTTCAATAGCAAACTGTTAAATTACCAGAGGGTACAAGGATACGACTTCAGGATAGCTGTTGTTTATGCTGATGTTCAATCCACTATTGGAGATGGTTAAAACATATGAAACAAAACAACATTTCTGGATGGTTGACCACCACTTTTCCCATGAAATCCACATGTTTCCGGACTTCTACGACCTGGTGAGGGTATTCACTACTTGTGGGGTACATAGTCAAAAAGACGCTTCGATTGGTCGGACCATGGAGAGGCCATCACCCGGAAGCGCCAAAAATAAACAGGATGTGAATATATTCAGACTTATACTAATTACAGATGTATTAATATATGTAAATATGTATAATATATAATGTTTATTATTAAATTAAGATACTAATTAGACTATATATATATATATTGTATATATATTATATATATATTAATTAGTACAGTAAGTCTTGATATGTTTTAATAGGAATAAGATCGACTTTGCCATATTGCAGGAGCCCTTCGTCCCATATCGATATCAGAGATTCTATCCGGGTTTTGTGCCATCCATTTATGGGATAACCATTTCTGTTACCCCCCGCGAATCAAACATAGCAATTGAAAATGAACATCCCCGAACTTAATCAAGGTTTATGGCTGGGAAATAACCTAATTAGTTATTTCTTTCATAGCAGGATGGTGGAATTCCATCATCAAATCCAATTATAAATACTATTAATCAGCACTGGGAAATAATTAATTATGAATTTGATGGGTGTTCCAGCAAGCCATGTTTGATGACACCAGGACGTAAGTCCTTAAGCACATTCCGTCTTGCCAGGCACCGTCACATGAGTAGGTGGCCAGAAAAAGCGGCCGGCGCTGCGACACCTCTCGAGCATCGCATGGAAACGAAATCGTATGAAATCGTGGCATGGAAACGAGGGTACGAGGTATTGAAATTCCAATAAATTGTCGGCTTGTTATATGGTTATAGACCACCAACAAGCACTCAAGTTGGGTTTCTCCAACCACCTATAATTTGCTTTATTTTTCTTCATCTTATCATAATTCAGCTGGATGAAGAGTTTGTGAATTGATTCCACAGTTGCCACTTTATCATGTTTTTTTTTTTTTCCGCAGTTTAGCCAACAAAAATATCCAGGATGATGATGTGATTAGGGGGCTTTTTTCTGAACTTTATATAGAGATACTATCAATGCTATCTCACCATCTCTCAGCGGCAAAAATTTCTATGGGATGATGGCCGGATTCGAGGCACCCCATAGCGAACTTACCTTAGAGGGTAAGCTAAGAGATGAAATGACTGGAGGGTAAAGTAAGGTAGTTACGTGGAGAGTGGTTTCCTTAGGAAAATATATAATCTACCAATGGAGAGTTTAACACTTTACACACATCTATTTGTCAGTTTACAGGAGAGTATACTGGCAATCAAAGCCAAATATACCTTCAGGTAACAAACATGGTTTGCTGGAAAATCCACCATTTAAAGATGAAATTCCCAGTATTTTTGGGAATTGTCCATCCAGCCACGTTTGATTACCTGAGGGTGATCCAATTGATTCAACATGTTTGCAAGCCCGCTACGAAGACTATATCATCCAAGCAAACACATACATATACTCATATACATAAATATATATATATATATACACATATTATATATATTATACATTATTATTATACATAGAATTGTAACTGTATACATGAATATCTTCAGTGTAGGAATTCATATATGTCCTTTGCGATCGCCGATGTTTGTGGCTATTTCGATTTCGATATTTTCGATGCTCCGGGGCCTAGAAGGCGCACCAGTTCAAAAGGAAGCTGGAGCGAGTTCGCCAACGAGACGGCCTTTTGAGGCAAAACTCGCTGAGCGCGATGGGATTCGGGGACTTTCACGCTGACGGTCCCGACTGGGGCAGGGTCGTGATGGTGGACGGTGGTGCCCGAAAGGACAGCCGTTTGGGAAGCTGGTTTGTCACTACTATAGTGGATATAATTGATAGATATCTTAACTACCAGTGGATATAAGTGATAGATATTCATAGTTAATGTGGGTTGTAAGCAAACCGGTTGTGATTAGTCAACTCCGGATCAATCAACCTCTGAGCTGTCTAGTTGGTAGGCTATCAGGCTACCATTTTAGTTGAAAATTATTTGGGTGCAACCACCCTAGTCAATCAAGCAGGGTTTATGAATTAGCGGTTTACATTTTTCTGTATAGAACGGAATATATTATGTGCTCCAAAGTTAGTCTCAAAGTTCTGGACAATGGAACGGCGGACCCATGAATTGACAGATAAGGAGCAATATGTATATATATATATTAAAAATGTGAACCATCAAAGACTGGGATAGAATAGAATAGCACTCCGGAACATTTTTTGTGCAATCATTTGTAAGCAGGAACAAAGGCAAAGCGTTGGGGAATGTTCAGAAACGCCATGAACCAAACTTCCAATGAGACCATCTTTTCTATATATCCACCTTGTGACAAAAATCATAGCTACCTTGAGCCTTGTGCCGTCCAATTTCCTCATTTCTGCAGTCGCTCAGTTTCCCTTCGCAGGGAATCAGTCGTGGATGGGCCTTGCAGCCACATACGCAATGTCTACCACCTGTGATGGGAGTCCCTTGGAGATCCACAAAATCACAGGTTGTTTATGGGATCATCCTGATGTGATCATGCCCCCAGCTCAACATCATGGTTTTTCGTGGCCCGGCGTTGCCACATGAAATCTGATCCTCAAGACTTTAGCCGCTAAACATCCTTCCACAATGGTCTAATACTTCAAGCTACACATTGTTGCAGCCGTACTCGCCCTTTCCGGGCTGCCGCCAGAGAAACGATGCCGGGAAAGCACAGCGGAAGGGAGGGTACAAACAATGGGTGGTTTAAACTACATAGTAGCAACCCCGCTATCCGCTATATATTCAGAAAAGGTGGTTACTTTGGAGAATCATTGGAAATATATCATATTATCAATATCAGCTATTATTATTGTTTTATAATTTACCATAATATACTATATTTACAACGACATGAACAATCGAACGCCTCTGTTTGCCGGGTTCCCATCAGGCACTGTCAACGCCCCATTGTGCTCCAACACCCATGTTGCAACCCTTTTCGGGCTCGACAAAATGTGATGCTTCCAGTGGTTCCTACCAATATGTTTGTGCATTGGGAACGCAGTTTTGATCAACAAAAAAAACACCAACCACTCAGTTCTGTATCCAAAATCACCCATGGATGCCCTGAAATCCAACTGTTGATCATCATGAAATTTTCCATCAAACTTGGGGTATCTGTCATTTTTCAACAAACCGAAGAAGATTCTGGTCGTCATATGCATCTGCGAGAAAGGGTCACCCAGGCTAAAACCACTAATGTGGGTAAAACCATAGTAAACGATTCCCCAAATCATCATTTTTATAGGTAGTATGTTTACCATTCCCAGTCATGGGTGGTAAAAATGACATTGTTTTAGCCACAGAAAAATTATAAAACAATCATGATCATTCAAACCATCATTAAAACACCATATCAGCCCCATTAAATCAGGTAAAACCCCCCATGAGTCCCCATTAAATCACCATATCATCCCCATGAGTTGTTGATCATTCAAAGTGCCATTGTTTTGACTCTACAAGGTGGTACCCCCCAGTGATGTTTGTTGGTTTATAATCCCCATTAACTATAGATATAACCCCCTAATCAACCCTAGTGAAATTGGACTTATAAACCAAGTTAGCTAACTATGGGGCACCACCTTGTAGAAACTGATGTTTTGGATTCCATCAATTCAACTCAACTTTTGTCGTTCCAACTGAGAAAGAACATCTGTGAAATTCCTGGATTTGCTGATGTTTGGTGAATCTCTAGGAAATAGAAATATCTGGTTGGTGGTTTGGAACATTTTAAATTTTCCATTTCATATATGGGAGAATCCTTCCCATTGACTTTCATTTTTTAACCACCAACCAGATATGCATACTTTTTTTCTATTTGAGGGGAGTCCTGGATCGCATATCCCCCTAAAAAATGAGATGATTTGGGGCTTGCGAAACGATCGCGAGAGCAACTCAGGGACGATGTTCAAGAGGTGGTCTTCACGCCGTTGTCTTTGCGGCAGGAGCGACGGGTCGGAGCTGGAAAAAAATGAAGATTTGATAGGCAATTCATGGTGGTGAAACAGATCAAAAAGTTAATTCATGGAAATATATGGAGATATGATGGGTTTATCCTCTGGTAATTCAAGAGTTTGGCACGGAACATGTCCATGTTTAATAGGTAATCGATCGATCTACCGAAAGTGGGCCATGGCTTCCATAGCAAACTGTTAAACTACCGGAGGATACCCAGTTTCAACCCATGCCCATACACACTTATCAAATTTATCAGAATTCTAGCAAACTACAGCTCTTATCCCCAGTTTGTTGGTGCAACTGTCTCGAACATGTTTCAAGCATATCGAGCGATTATATTGGTTGCATACAAGTTGTATGCTGTTCATACAGATCGATTCAGATGAAAGATAGATGCTGTGAGATGTTCAATAACTACAACAGGTCCGTGAGTCCAAAAAAGAGCACATCAACGGTTTGCAGGTCATTCAAATTGGGCCCACCTGTCAAAGACATCTTCACCCAAGTAGGAGGTAATGAAGGTACTATGATTCATGATAATACAGAGAATTACTGGTTGGTGGTTTGGAACATGAATTTTATTTTTCCATTTCATATATGGGAATGTCATCATCCCAACTGGTCCGAACTCCATCATTTTTCAGAGGCGTAGGTCAATCACCAGAGAATGATATGAAGCCATGGAGGGCGTCCACTTGAGGTAACGAGAAAGATCCACCGATCCACCACGAGTCCAAAACTCCACCTATACATTTACGAGTCAAATCCCATCTGCGAAGAAATTCGGTGCTGGTATATGAAAACCCAAAAATGACTGGGTGATGAATTGTTCTGGCAAATGTTGGTGTTTTTATATTCCAGCACCATGCTTCGCATATGGGAACTATTTAATTATAGCCAACATCTTGACACGGAGATAACAAATGAAACTTTTGCAAACCCATAGGATCCATGTATGGTATATATGCTAACATTTGGGGTATATTGATGGGATCCATGTTACCATATATAGCATGAATGGATCCTATGGGAAACATACCCATTTTTTCAGAGTGAATTACGAAAAGGTCTCACTGAGATGTCATTTTTTAGATGCTTCGTGCCCATTTTTTTTCCAAAGATTTTTGCTTGTGGTGAGGACACGCCTGCACTGGTTATCACTGGTTGCTCTTGGAAGATTCTTTTCTGATCAACCTCGTCTGTTTTTTTAATTGTCCATTTCATATATGGGTTGTCATCCTTCCCATTGACGAACTCATATTTTTCAAGATGGTTTTTTAAACCACCAAGCAGTCATGACTGGGAGAAAGTTCTTCCGGGCGGCTTGTTCCTTTAATCCGTTCGTCAGAAGAATGGTTGGAGCTACAGTTCTATAGGCAACTCAAAGTAAAATTAATATAATGTGTATATATATATATATTACATATAATATCTATATCTATATATTGAATATAGTAATATATATATATACAGTATATATATATATAGCAAGTGTTCCATCTCCCAAGACCCAATGCTTTTCTTGGGTTCATTCCAGGAGCTTGGACCAAAGGTCTTGGTGGAATACAAGGACTGCCCGAGGTCGCTCCATGACCTGTTCCCGCCCCGGGCCCCGAAAAAATCCATGGGGAAAGTCCGGGAAAGTGGTGATTTCACCAGCGAGAATGGGAAATCTCTGGTAAACAAACATAGCTAATTATTGAAAATGGCCAGTTATAGTGGATTTACCCATTAAAAATGGTGATGTTCCATAGCTATGTTAAATTACCAGAGGGTACAGGATGGTGCCCCCCAGTTATAAGTTGGTTTATAATCCCCATTAACTATAGATATAACCCCCTAATCAACCCTAGTGAAATTGGACTTATAAACCAAGTTAGCTAACTATGGGGCACCACCTTGTAGCTGATTTATGATGATTTGCTAAGTCGGGACAATTTGGTTAACTGTGGGGTTGGAATGGGGGGTATAAGTCATAGAATTCATGGGATGAACTTGAACCAACAAATGTAACTAGGGTGCTGATCCACTAGCAGAAATGGAGGGTTGATGCCAGAGTCTATGTGTTAAAGCCAAAGCCAATGCTATAAACAGTCCATCAGTCCTACCAGTTGGGGATGGTTCAAATCCCATTGTTGGGGATGGTTCATGGCATTGGGTTTGCTACATTACTTTCAATCGAGACCCATAAAGAATGAAGGATTCACCAGCATTCAACAATAGAAAAAAAGTGGGTGTGACAGCAATCGCATATGGTGAATTGGTGCATATAGTGGGAACTTTGCATTTTGCACCACTTTGTTTGTACAATGATCCATTTGTTCATTATATAGTACTTTCAAGATCAAGGTACATGAAAGGAGTTGAGCCTACTCTGGGGCCTAACCTGGAGCAAAGAACCATGAGTCAAAATGGGATGGGAATAGGCGTGTCTGAAAGTTGGGTTCTCCTAAAATCCACGCGTAAATCATCATTTGCTGTGCCAAAAGAAAAGAGGCAAAACTTTTTCTTGGTGGATTGGAACATTAATGTTATTTTTCCATTCAGTTGGCAATGTCATAATCCCAACTGGTCCGAACTCCATCATTTTTCAGAGGGGTAGGCTCAACCACCAACCAGAAACTATAGGTTATTGGCCCATTATCATCTCATAAAATTCACCAATGTTAACCCATTGATTGCCAATGGCTGATACCCCACCAACCAGTTTTTTCGGGGTATCAGCCGTGGGGAACCCGGCGCACTACCCTGGCCACCCAGAATGCCAGTCAGCTGAGATGATCAGTGTCAGTGTGAAAGGCAGACGTATGGGTAGGTGTACGGACGGAAATCAAAACACACACAGATATATATATGTATGTATATATATATACATAAGTATATACATATATATATACATACATATGTAGACAACAATCACATATGCGGCTCACATCACCAGTACTGGAAGTCAATTCGTATCTCTCTTGCCGAAATTGTCAGCGTGTCACCATTTGCTTCAGGCTCACTCCAACATTACATGGGCAATTGGATTCCAGACCGCAAAGATTTAAAAGTCTAAAAGGGGGTTGTTGTAATGAGGAAAATCCAACGATAAGCCAACCCCAAATTTAGGTTTGACTAATATACCCCCAGCAACATAGCAATGCAAGGATGTGTATTGTGAAGCCTGCTATGTTTGGTTGCTGGGACGGTTTATATTCCCTTCCCATTAATACAAAGCCATGTATTTACCAGCATTTCCATGATATTTGCCTCATTCAGAAATGCACGTCATCCCCCATTCTCTTCTGGATTTTTGAGGTTTTTTTTTCACTTGGGATATCCGAAGTATTTCCAACTTCTGGTGGTGAAAATCCCATATAGTGATCCTTTGGCCTGCACCCCCAAGTATATTTATGGTGGTAAAATCCCATTTTTTTTGAAACAATTTTAGAAAGTATTCCCATCAAGTATCCCTATATAAAGCCAGATAGTTCTTAGAATTACCCACAGATTATTTTGAAAACATTGCTGTTTTTTGAATGGCCCATAGTTAAATAGATGATAAAAATCATTATTTGCCTACCAAAAGTGGTGATTTTCTGTGGCTGTTCCATGGCTATGTTAGTGAAATTACCAGAGGGAACGAATCCCATGTAAAAGATTGTATTTAATGGATTGTATTTATGTTCCATTTCATCGGTATTTATGTAATATGTATAAATACAAAGGATAGATTCGGAGAGATTCTGTTCCATATGTATGTTATATGCTATGTATCCTATAAATGGGTCTGATTCCATATGATATTTATGTATGATTCCGACCATAGATGTTATCAGGCCCATGTTCCAGACCTTGCATCGCCAGGACTTAGCCATGCAGCTTGCAAACCAGGCCAACAAAGCTGCGGCACAGGCTAAACCCCAAAAATATAGTTATGGTGTCATGGTAAGAAACAAACACTATACTTATGGAATGTTATGGATAAACTCAAAATTGTACCCTCTGGTTATTCAACATAGCCATGGTATAGATGGCCCATAGAAATAGATGGTTTACCTATTAAAAATGGATGGATCTTTCCATAGCTACGTTAGTCATAACCAGGTTGGCTAATTATAGTGTTCTGGTGTCCAAACCACAGTTGAAAAAACGGATCTCCTGTGGCGATCACCAGGATCTAGGGGGGATTAGAAAACCGTTTTGAAAAACGAGTCTCCATTCAGAAAATGCGTTTTTGTTGCAGTTATGGCCATGAACAATTGTTATAACTGGTGATTTCTATGGGATTATACATTCTATAAATGCAGTTTTCTTAGTACTTATAACTGGTATTTTGGGCCATAACTGTGGATGTTGTTGATGTTTTTTTTCCCAAAGACTTGGGTGACATGTGAATGGTACACTTCACCCGCTCGATAGACTTGCCAGGGCCAGGTTCTTCCACAGTGGGAGGCTGAGCTCGCGTTGATGCGTGGAGATGTGAGTGTTGTTTCAATGTGAACCACAGGTGGATTCATTGAAGCAGACCTCCCATGGAATAATCCACCAATGTATGCAGTCATCCCCAAAAAGATTGAAAAGTGAATTATCACTCTTTCAAGAAAGATTTACTTGTCTATCTCTGTGGGAATAACTATACAAGGTGGTACCCCCAGTTATAAGTTGGTTTATAATCACCATTAACTATAGATATAACCCCCATAAACCCTAGTTATTGGACTTATAAACCAAGTTAGCTAACTATGGGGCACCACCTTGTATGATGATGATAAATGATATACCAATCCGGCTCTTCTATCCGTTTTCTGAAAGGGCATAGTTGTGACACCTGTATGAGATTCCATTGTTAGTTGGGCATGGGTCAGAATTATGAACTAAGAGTGACCATAAATGGATCTAAAATTATAAATCATCATGTTTATAGATCTATAAAGGGTTCAGTAACCATAATTGATGAAACAATCTTTGATCCATAACTGGTTGGTGGTTTGGAACATTTTTTATTTTCCCATATTTGAATGGTGGAATTTACAATCTTCCATTTTTTCGAGCTAGCTCAAAACATGTAGCTGGCTCAATTTCATCAGGGGTATGTTTTGACAGTCACCTTGGGCTTTTTCAGAGGTACCATATCTAGTACTAAAGTAATCAGTGGGGACTGAACCTGGCAATTTAACACATTGGGAAATTCCTGCGAACTCGCTCAACTGCAACGAGCTGGCTCAGCACCATCGAGCTCGCTCAAACACATCGCTCTAGCTCAGGGGCATCGAGCTAGCTCAATGGCATCGAGCTGGCTCAATTTTTTCAACGAAAAAAAAAACGAAAAAAAAAAATTGAGCCAGCTACGTCACGTTGAGCTGGCGGACGAATGTGAAAGCATCAAAACGAATACTAACTATGTATTGGCCGGGTTCATGACGCATTGGCGAGCCGGCTCAAGGGCATGTAGCCGGCTCAATTTCTGCGAGTTTTTTTTTTTCGCTAAAAAAATTGAGCCAGCTACGTGGCGCTGAGCCAGCTACGAGGCGCTGAGCCAGCTACGTGGCATTGAGCCAGCTACGTGGCACTGAGCCAGCTACCTGGCACTGAGCCAGCAAGGTAGCTTTGAGCTTTGAGCTAGCAAGGAGGCAGTGAGCCAGCAAGGTAGCTTTAAGCTTCATCATATATATATATACCTATGCAATCCCAAGCATATAATATACTAAATCTAGGGCAAAACATTTTTTTTTGAGGGAGACACGTACCTTTGAGCTGGAGCGGGAATGTGAAATCTACCATTCGACATATATTGGTAATGTCATCATCCCAACTGACTTTCATATTTTCAGAGGGGTAGGTATACCACCAACCAATTAAATTGATGGAACAATCTTTTATGAAGATAAATGATGATTCAGAATATCGATCATTCAAATAATTTGGCTGTTATTATAAAATTCCATGGTTCAGTGACCATAAATTGATCTAAATGGATGATCGACCTGGAGGACCACCCCACGAATCGACGAAGAAGGCTGAAGAAGGCTGAGCTGCTGGGGGTTCAAAGCGATTTATTTCAGTGGGATAATCCACTCATTAGGACTTAACCTGGGCTATTATCCACTTAAGTGGGATTATCCACTTAAGTGGGATTATCCTCCAATGTGGTTTCAGGGAAAAATGAAACAGTAAATTTCCATATTTGGGAAAATCAATGGTTCCGGTAGATTTTCTCTGAAGCCAATCCATTGATAGTGGCCCATTTATAGTTGATTTACTCAGCTATAAAATGGTGATGTTCCATAGTTTCTTATATGTTTACCAGAGGATATACCCAGCATTTCCCCAAAAATGTGGTGGGTGCCCGTCGATCGTTCGATCGATTCCAAGGCAAGGACCCGATGCCAAAGCGAAAGCGTTGGGGCGCCTGGGGCGCCGCTGGGTCCCGCTGGGTGCCGCTGGGTGCGGGGTCATGGGATCCCAGGAACATGGGCAACTGAGATAATGACTGATATATACTATCTGGTTGTTTAACATAGCCATGGACAATTCATTAAAAATGGAGGTTTCTAGCTGGGAAAATCATCTATTTCTATGGGCCATGGCTTCCATGGCTATGTTAAACAACCAGAGGGTATATATATATATATACATATATATATGGGTAAATTATAACGACCTCACTGTTCTCCCTCACTGCGACCGAACCCCGGAATCATGGTTTATAAGGGAAATCATTCCCAAATGGCCGAACTTTTGAGGTTGTGAATTATTATAATCTAGCCATATATATATATACATAATTACCCTCTGGTTATTTAACATAGCCATGGAAGCCATGGCCCATAGAAATCGATGATTTTCCCAGCTAGAAACCTCCATTTTTAATGAATTTTCCATAATAGATATAGGAAATAGAAATATCTGGTTGGTGGTTTCAAACATTTGGATTATGTTCCATTTCATATATGGGATGTCATCCTCCCCATTGACGAACTCAGATTCTTCAACATGGTTAAAGCATGTTAAAACCACCAACCAGATATTATATATATATATATACAATGGGATTTCATAATAAATGACATATTTTATAATAGTTTATATATATAATATACCAGTTTTATACACCAACAACTGGGGACCAGTTATATGGGATATCTATTAATAATATTATACTCACAACCAGTTATATATATTGGGAATATGATAACCAACCATTTTTGGGGGGACAGATTTGATGATCTGATGGGATCAATAACAACTAACAAGAAATGATATTTGGTGGTGGAGGGGTTCGGGCTTCGGAGCTATGGTTGTATCCATAATCCCTATGGAAAACGGGGAGCCGTTTCGGAGCTACGAATTCAGTTGTTGATCCACGTCGAAGATGGGTATTTCAGGCCTTGTTGGGCAAGTTGGTTTATAATTAGGCTTGGATTTATTGAGTACAGTTTGATAGAATGGGGTGCAAAACATCCAGACTACCCTCTGGTAAACTAACATAGCTATGGAAAATCACTATTTTCTAGCTGGGTAAATCCACTATTTCAATGGCCATTTTCAATAGCTATGTAAACGTTTACCAGAGGGTATCATTTACAATCGCAGTTTCAACCTCGATGCCTTCCTTGTGACTCTGTGACTGGTAGATTTAGCCTCCAGATGCTTAACCTCAACCTGACCAATTCCCATTGTACAAGGTATAGCGAAGTTGGTTTACAAGGGATACAACCAGGATTTGTGGTATTGATTGATTTACAAACTGTTGGGGCACCACATTGTACCATTGTACCTTCAATGAACGATCAGCAATCAGGAGCCTGAAATAATGATGTGTTTTTTTTTTTTATTTTTTTAAATTAAGACTCCGTGTTTGACAGGCTCATTTTGATACGTTGGCCATAATGACTGATTGCCCATCGGATCTAAAATGGCCGACTGGAAAATCCTGATTTCAAAGGAAAGTCATGAATCACGAATCATGGTTTTTCTTCGCAGGATTCGCAGGATTTCCAGCGAGGATCTTGCTGTGACTTCCTTAATAACGCATCCATGATGTCGCCACGGTCTCTTGAACTGCTCAAACAGTTTTCTGGAGCAGATGGGACATGGGTCCACATCAGCAACATGATCGAGAACAAAAACAGCCGAAGTGTTCGACATTGTCACGGGGAGGGTTTCGTGCATCACATGTAGGTGTCATGAGAGTTTCGACCCAGCACGATAGTGGGGTTGCATTAAAAAACACATGTTCAGCAAATCAATGATTTGTGTGTTACATGACCATAACTGGTTGGTGGTTTCAAAATGTTTCAAACATTTAAGGATGATTTTCCATGTTTTGTATCGGGGAATCCTTCCCATTGACTTTCACATTTTTCAGAGGGGTAGCTATACCAACAAGCAGATAATTGCAGGTCCATTGGTACCAGGGTTTCACTACCCAGATCTATCGTGCCATGGCCGCTGGTGGCTACGCCGGCACTGCCGGAAAGCTGAAGTTTGTGAAGTTGAGCGGGGAAGAAATCCCTTGTCACTTGGCAGGATCAACTTATAACTGGGTAGTTAATCATTCGGATAATCATTCGGATAATCCATGAATTTCATACGGGATGTTTACATGGATACCCTCTGGTAAACGTTTACATAACTATGGAAAGATCCATCATTTTCTAGCTGGGTAAATCCACTATTTCGACTGGGCCATTTTCAATAGCTCTTTGTATGTTTACCAGGCCGGGTAAAGCCAACAAGTTCAACGGGGACTTACCATAAAAAATCATCACTAGTGTAACAAATTGTGGATATTTGCTGAGTCGATGCTCTCGGATAACACTTTTTCCCCTTAAGAGAGTTATATATCCATTTACCAAGGCAGGGGAATCTATAAAAAATAATGGACTTTTCCGTATATAATTCATGGTTATATTAAACGGTTAATAATGGTTAGTAATGGTTAATAATGACCAAGGTTTACTAGTTGGTGGTGACTGGAACCATGGAATTTTCACTGACTTTCCCATCATATTGGGAATGTCAATCCATCCCAACTGACTTTCACTCCATCATTTTTCAGGGGGGTAGGGCGAAAAACCACCAACCATAACCAGAACCTGTTTTTCATTTCTGGGGGGGTTCCTCAAGAAGATCCAGGAGTTTGGACACGACCAGAGCTTCAAAAAAGAACATGACCATGGAATGATTGTGAAGATTATGATGAATCAACGCATGGAACGATATAGCGGTATTGTCAGATACAATGTTGGGTCCATCCCAGTTGGATGTTTGTTGGTTGATGTTCACCATGGAACCACATATTATGTATAATATAAAGATAAAAAATACATGTGCATGTATTTATCTACCATAAATTCCAGTGAAATTACTGCAGTAAGTGAAAGAAACAAGCTTATAACAATTCTGAACTGGAGCACCACAATGCAGGAACTGGGTCTGCTTGGAAACAGAAAATCGGGGACAAAACCGCTTGGGTACTACTTTTTGCAATAACATGATTGGGTGATGCTTCAGGGCCACTTTACTCCGAGGGCCATTGAAGAGAGACTCCTTCAGGTAGAATTGAGAGTACGGAGGAAGAGCATCGAGACTACCCAATATTTGTAGCACCATGTAGCACCCCTTTGAAGAAGCAACAAGTCAGAAGTAGCTAAAATACTTGCAAGCACATGGGAGTTGGAACAAAACAACTACTTACTACTTATAATATCTTATAATAATACCATCCAACTTACACGTTCAGAATACTTGAGTAGACATTTTGTGTTACATGTTACCTGATATTGCTCCAAAAGGCCCAGCGTGTATCAGGGGATATCGTATTCATATTGTTCGGGCATGGCTTACAAAGTTTGCGTGTTATATTTGTTGCAAATGGCGCAAAGATAGGTTCTAAGGAATTCGCCAAATTCTTCATGTTTGGTATTTATATAACCATCAATTATATGGAGGTTTCCCGAAGTTGGGGTACCCCTAGTTATCATCCATTTGTAGATGGAATTTTCCATGAAACACACCAACAAGTTGTTGGGGATCCTCCATTCATGGAAACCCCCCATATCCTTCATAAGCCCAACAGTTAACCAAGCGATAGTTATGGTCACTGACTGATCAGTGCTTAGGTTGGTTTGTTACTGCAATAAGAATGTCTTTACTTCTGGGAATCCCAAGGATTTTCATGACAGGTCGAGTTGGGATGTTCATTTTTTTTGGACAAGAAAACATAGAAATGCAAACACCCACAGCCATATGTGAACCATGGTGCTGGTATATGCACAGATGCATGACTGGGTGATAAATTCTTCGGGTTTCTATGTTGGTGATGTGCATATGCACCATGGTGAGCGCAGAATGGGACATGTTTTTTTCCTAGGAGAATGCTCTACAGTGGATTGTCCATTTGTTTGTTGTCCAGTTCAAGTTGAATTTGCCAGTGTTTTTTGCCGTCAGTCACAGCATTCCAGGCATTTCCTGCTCCATGTGGATCCTTTCCTGCCCCATTTCATCATGGCTTACACTTATAACTTGGATGATGTTGAGCTCCCCCATCTCTTAAGATTCCATGTGGAATAATGTGGAATAACACCTGCCTCCACCCGGGTAAATTTCTTCGCATAAAACCATGGCAGTTGGTGGGCATTTCCACCATTTGTTGGGTCACCTTGTATCCTCGTGTTTTGGGTGGTATCCCCCAAAGGATTTTGTTTGCCATGGGCTATTTATTTTATTTTTATTTTTTTGGGGCGGCAGGTTTTGGAATTATTTTTGGGTTCCTGGTTCTATGCTTTCCTGCTTCTCTGCTTTTCTGCTTTTTGCTTTTCCTGCTTCTTTGCTTCTCTGCTTTACCTGCTTCTTCTCTTTTCTGCTTCTCTGCTTTCCCTGCTTCTCTGCTCTTCTGCTTTTGTGCTTTACCTGCTTCTTTTCTTTTCTGCTTCTCTGCTTTTCTGCTTTTATGCTTGTGTACCTTTCTACTTCTACTATTATACTTTTTTCTTCAGGCATGTATTTTTCCTTTTTGTTGCTCTACTTCCTGCTTCTTTGCTTCTCTGCTTTCTGTCTTTACTGCCTCTTTGTTTTTTTTCTTTTCTTTTGCTCTACTCTCTCCTGTTTGTAAACACCCTAGGTGAAACCCAAAGAAACCTTAAAGAAATTATGAAAAGAACTCCTGATAAGAAACCCTATATGAAACCCTAAATGAACCCTAAAGAAACCATAAATTAACCCTAGAGAAACCCTAAATGAAACCCTAAAGAAACTTTGAATGAAACCAACCCTAAATGACAACCTAAAGAAACCCTAAACGACACTCTAAAAAACCCTAAATGACACCCACAAGAAACCCTAAACAAAACTCTAAAGAAACCCTAAATGAAACCTGAAATGAAACCCTAAATGAAACCCTAAATGAAACCCTAAAGAAGCCCCAAATGAAACCCTACATGAAACCCTACAGAAACCCCTCAAGAAACCCTGAATGAAACCCTAAATGAAAACCCTAAATGAAACCTAAAGAAACCCTAAATGAAACCCTAAAGAAACCCTAAATGAAACCCTAAAGAAGCCCTAAAGAAACCCACATGAAGGTTTGGAAAGCCTGATAATTAAGAAACCCTACATGAAACCCTAAGCGAAACTCTAAAGAAACCCTAAACCTAAAGAAGCCCCAAATGACACCTGAAATGAAACCCTGAATGAAGCCCTAAAGAAACACTAAACGAAACTCTAAAGAAACCCTAAAGAAACCCTAAATAAAACCCTACATGAAACCCTAAAGAAACCCTGAATGAACCCCTCAATGAAACCCTAAAGAAACTCTCAAGAAACCCGCATGAACGTTTGAAGTACCAAAATGTGCAAATACCATGCAAATGAGAGGTTGAAGTGCCAAAACGTGGCAAATACCATGCAAAATGGAAGGCGAACATGGCCAAATGTAGGAAATACCATGCAAAATGCAACGTGACCATGCCAACATGTAGCAAATACCATGCAAAATGACAGATTCTAGTTCCAAACTGTTGCAAATACAAGGCAGATGGTACCAGGAAAGAAAGCCAACAAAAAATCAAAAACCTGAGCCAAAACAAAATCCAAAAACTATTCTGCACCCTTTTGTTGTTCCTTCTTTAGGCATTCTATGTTTCAGCCCGGGATGCTGTTAGGGGATGTTGAAAGTGGCGAAAGTTACTGTAGTGAACACGCAGTGTATGCGAAAATTGTGTACACCAAGAAAACGATTGAGTAGCGAACATGTTTATGTATCATGATTTGTTTGGGTGCCCTAGTTGCAACTATTTTTGGAGAAAGCATATTTTTCAGTATATATGACATATGACATATAATATCATATAATATCATTATATCATATAATATATTACAAGGTGGTGCCCCTAATATTTAGCTAAGTTGGGGTAGATAACTCCAATTTCACGGTTTATTTTTCTAGATATGGGTATGAGTCAAAACCACTAGTACCCCTGTATTTCATCAAAATAGCTGGGATTTATGGATGTTCATCCCACTAAAAATGGTATGTATAGGTATTGATCCATACCCATATAGTAATATCAGAAGTTATCACCTAATTATCTATGGGATGAGTGTATTTTAGATGTATTGATCCATTTAATAGGTATTGATCCATACCCATATATCGAAGTACTGGGGGTTAGAAACCAACAGAACCGACTCCGCAGACCAAGCTCCTCCCAACAGCACGCTACGCGACGTGGCGCCCCAGCTGGTTTCTTGGCCACTGGGGGGCGACTGGGTGGCGATGCTGAACGATGGATTGGTTTTGTTGGGGAAAATCTGGGAAACCATCGATTTTACCCATATTTTTCAGAACTGGGGCTTTTCGGTTTTAATTTTGTTTTAAACCAATCCATTGAAACCTAGCTTAACTATGGTTTGTGAAGCTATATGGAACTAGTTAATGGATGTTAATGGGTTTATAAGCCAACAAACATCACTGGGGGGCCGAAAACCTTGTACCTTCTGGTAATGTAGCATATAAAAACATGGTGGGGGCGCCTCTAAGAGGCCGTGCGTTTTTGCACATGGATATATTTCTCTTCAATGATGTTTCAAGGTTTCGCCACAACGAGAGCGGTTTTTCACAGATATTTATATATTGTGGGTGTGTCAAAAGTCATGGAAGGGTATGGAAAAATGAGGGTCTCGGTGTGATTTCACTGGTTTTTGTGGGACGAAAGCTACATGTTGGAAAAGGCAGCTGTACGCTTTTTCTTCTCTTTGTTTCAGCCGCTTTTGCGGCAAAGGTCTCCTAGACATTTGTACATGTCGTTGTGGCAATTTCTTCGCCACAGAAAAACCCAGACACATTTCATGATGTCTGTCTAATAACAAAATAATATGTGTATATATATATATATTATAACAAAATAATATATATATATATATTATAACAAAATAATATATATATATAATAACAAAACAATATATATATATAATAACCAAATAATATATATATATATATTATAACATATATATATGTATAATAACAAAATAATATATATATATATATTATAACAAAATAATATAAATATATAATAACAAAATAATATATATATATATATATATATTATAACAAAATAATATATATATATTATAACCATGTGCAGCGTATAATATATATTTATATATAACTTGAAGTCCATCATCAATTTCTGACATGATGTTGAACAAAATACTATATATTATAACCATATGCAGCGTATAATATATATAACTTGAAGTCCATCACCAACTTCTTACATGATGTTGAACAAAATACTATATATTATAACCATCTGCAGCGTAGCATATTTTTAACTTGAAGTCCATCATCAATTTCTGACATAATGTTGAACAAAATACTTGTATATCACAAACAACTACCTGGTAGGACACCTCTATACCCAAACCGGAACCCCACACCATCATCAATGTAACATCAACGTACTAAAACGTAACATCAACATATAATCAACATCAACGTAGCAACGGGGCATGATCAAAGTAACATCAACGTATCAACAGTAGCCTCAACGGCTCCTCAACGTAGCATCACAGTATGATCAACGTAACATCAACGTAGCATCCACGTCGCATCACCTTGCACGCAAGAGATATGAACGTTATCACACCCCACCCCACCCCACCCCAAAAACCTCAAAAACGCACGGCCTCTTAGAGGCGCCCATACCAAAAACATGACCCATGAAATTTTGTATGATTTACCTGTTTAAGGTGACAATTGTCCGTGGCTATGTTTGATTACCAGGGATATCTGGTACTTTCAACCATAAAATGTGATGATAATCCCCAACGGAGGATGGACAAGCCATCCTGTAGCAGTTGGCAACTATTGGTAATTATGAACACGGTAAAGAATGGTACAAGGTGGTACCCCCCAGTTATAAGTTGGTTTTTAAGCCCCAGTAACTATATTTATAAATACCATAAACCATAGTTATTGGACTTATAAACCAAGTTAGCTAACTAACTATGGGGCACCACCTTGTATAATGCGATACACCATCTACCAGCTGGTGCCAAGATTTCATCCACAGTACGTTCAGGGGGCACCCAGTGACAGTGCAATTTTGGTACTGGGCCCTGATTTTGGCGATCCTTGCGGCAAGGCCACTGATAAACAGGATCGATGAGGTTAATGTCAACCCAGGATTACTAACCTCCCAGTATAGTGTATGCATAGTTAGATACACACATATATATATATATGTATATATATATATGGTGGTACATCGGGGATACCATTTATTCCTGGAATCAGCCGCGCTAAGAGGGGACCCTCTCAAGTTAGCTAGGCACAGTTCTATCTACAGAAATCATGGGGGGTTATAAATCAACAAACATCACTGGGCTGCTGGGCTGCCACCGTGTACCCTCTGGTTATGACTAACATAGCCAACTGGAAAATCACCATGCGATTAATAGGTAAACCATCTATTTCTATGGACCATCTATACCATGGCTATGTTAGTCATAACCAGAGGGTATGTTTTTTTTTCAGTTCTCTCGGCGAGGCAAAATTCTTTCCAGGTGGCTCCGTCCGACTGATCGATGAATCTGGGAAATTACTCTACAGCAGCTTGGCGAACGCTCTACACGCAATGGACAAAATGTGCTGACACCGTGGCTGAGTGGCTGCTGTTGACCCCTGTTGGCAACGATAATTCTGGTGGGTTGAGCCCGCTTTGGTGAGTAACTCGTACAATCTTATTATACTGATATTTTGCATTAGTAGAATTATGCTACCACCCCTACCTTGTTCATCTTATTTAGTATTGTGGTAGCATAACTTGTACTCCCCTATTCCTCCCATGCACACCATGGCTTCGCAAAGCCGAAATCTTCACAAAACGGCGATGGCCTTACCAGTAAAACGGCCGTGGCCTGCATGATGTTTACCATCTGGTTATGACTAACATAACCATGGAAAATCACCACTTTTAATAGGTAAACCCAGGTAAACCATCTATTTCTATGGGCCATCTATACCATGGCTATGTTAAATAACCAGAGGGTAAATGTGAAAATGGTGGTTTCTTAAAATTGGAGGATCCCCACGTCATGGGTTTCAATACTAAGTCATGAATGGTCAAATGATTTAAATGATTTAAATGATTTGGATGATTTGGGGGTCCCGCCAGAAAACCTCTAAATAGCGATCTGAGACATGACATTGTTTCGTTTGAGTTTTGGGAATGAAAAAAGACAGGGTTCTTAGGCATGCTGCAAAATGCTGCAAAGTTGTTGTTTGGACACAGGATGTCGTGCCGAAGGCAGCCAAGAGTTCTTGCAGGGGCAGGGAAGGGATTTCTCTCCAAGATTGGCCATGAAGACTGGGATTTCACCATATTTTGTTTTGGTTCAGCCATCAGAAATAGGGCTTGGAGCCAGGCCATGTCGGGGCTTAACCATTTATAGTGCCGGACAGTTGGTTAGAACCAATTTTGGAAAATTTCCAAAAAAAATCGGTACACGAGCAAATCGCACTTAGAACCCAAAAAACCTTGCACTTAGAACCTCTTCATATGACATGAGGATCGTCCATGTTATCAATTAACATCTACATATGTTTATAACCACGTAGATGGTTGGGGAGATTCGCACTTAGAACCTTTCAAAATCATGAGTATCTTTAATGATATGAGTTAACATCTACATACGTTTATAACCATGTAAATAGTTGGGGAGATTCGCACTTAGAACCTCTGAAATCATACTTTGACTACTGCATTTTGAGATCGGAGCACGAACATGTTTCTTGATAATGCTTGGAAACATATTTGGTGATGGGAGGCTATCTATACGCTGATAGAATCTTCCCAGATTGAAGTGCCACCGCCACCATGTTTCTTAGTAAGACGTTTATAGATCAGATTAGGTATGTTGCCTATGTGCCCAGGATGGCAGGGAACCAGGCAGTTTGGTAGGGACTTTCGCACTTAGAACCTCCTAAATCACAGCCTACACTGGTAGAATTAAAATCTTCCCAGGTTGGTGTGCCAACATGTTTCTTCATAAGGGTCTTTTAGGTCAGATTAGATGTTGCCTATGTGCACGGGATGGCAGGGAACCATGCAGAACCATGCAGAACCACGCAGATAGGTGGGGACTTTCGCACTTAGAACCTCCTAAATCACAACCTACACTGGTAGATTGAAAATCTTTCCAGGTTGATGTGCCAGCATGTTTGTCAGAAAGGGTTTTATGGATTGGACTAGGTATGTTGCCTATGTGCAGGGGATGGCATGGAACCATGCAGATCGGTGGGGGACTTTCGCACTTAAAAACTCCTAAATCACAACCTACACTGATAGAATCTTCCAAGATTGGAGTGCCAAAATGTTTCTTGGTAAGGGCTTGATAGATCAGATAAGGTATGTTGCCTACGTGCACGGGATGGCAGGAAACAAGGCAGATAGGTGGGGACTTTCGCACTTAGAACCTCCTAAATCACAGCCTACACTGGAATCAAAATCTGGTTGGTGTGTCAACATGCTTCTTGATAAGGGTTTTATAGATCAGATTAGATGTTGCCTATGCGCACGGGATGGCAGGGAACCATGCAGAACCATGCAGAACCACGCAGATAGGTGGGAACTTTCGCACTTAGAACCTCCTGAATCACAAGCTACACTGGTACAATCTTCCCAGATTGGAGTTCCAGCATGTTTCCGGATAAGGGTTATACAGATCAGATTAGGTATGTTGCCTATGCGCACGGGATGGAAAGGAACTAGGCAGATAGGTTGGGGACTTTCGCACTTTGAACCTCCTAAATCACACCTACACCAGTCGAGTTAAAATCTTTTCAGGTTGGTGTGCCAACATGTTTCTTGATAAGGGTTTTTTAGATCAGATTATATAGATGTTGCCTATGCACACGGGATGACAGGGAACCATGCAGAACCATGCAGATAGGTGGGGACTTTCGCACTTAGAACCTCCTAACTCACAGCCTACTCTGGTAGAATTAAGATCTTCCCAGATTGGAGCGCCAACATGTTTCTTGGTAAGGATTGTAGATTCAGATTAGGTATGTTTTCTGTGAGCACGGGATGGCAGGGAACCAGGCAGATAGGTGGGGTACTTTCGCACTTAGAAGCTCCTAAATCACAGCCTTTTCTGGTAGAATTAAGATCTTCCCAGATTGGAGCGCCAACATGATTCTTGGTAAGGATTATAGATCAGATTAGGTATGTTGCCTGTGAGCACGGGATGACAGGGAACCAGGCAGTTTGGTGGGGACTTTCGCACTTAGAACCTCCTAAATCACAGCCTACACTGGTAGAATTAAAATCTTCCCAGGTTGGTGTGCCAACATGTTTCTTCATAAGGGTCTTTTAGGTCAGATTAGATGTTGCCTATGTGCACGGAATGGCAGGGAACCATGCAGAACTATGCAGAACCACGCAGATAGGTGGGGACTTTCGCACTTAGAACCTCCTAAATCACAACCTACACTTGAATTAAAATCTTCTCAGGTTGGTGTGCCAACATGTTTCTTCATAAGGGTCTTTTAGGTCAGATTAGATGTTGCCTATGTGCACGGAATGGCAGGGAACCATGCAGAACTATGCAGAACCACGCAGATAGGTGGGGACTTTCGCACTTAGAACCTCCTAAATCACAACCTACACTGGTAGAATGAAAATCTTTCCAGGTTGATGTGCCAACATGTTTGTCAGAAAGGGTTTTATGGATTGGACTAGGTATGTTGCCTATGTGCACGGGATGGCATGGAACCATGCAGATCGGTGGGGGACTTTCGCACTTAAAAACTCCTAAATCACAACCTACACTGATAGAATCTTCCAAGATTGGAGTGCCAAAATGTTTCTTGGTAAGGGTTTGATAGATCAGATAAGGTATGTTTCCTACGTGCACGGGATGGCAGGGAACCAGGCAGTTTGGTGGGGACTTTCGCACTTAGAACCTCCTAAATCACAGCCTACACTGGAATCAAAATCTGGTCGGTGTGCCAACATGTTTCCTGATAAGGGTTTTATAGATCAGATTAGATGTTGCCTATGCGCACGGGATGGCAGGGAACCATGCAGAACCACGCAGATAGGTGGGGACTTTCGCACTTAGAACCTCCTAAATCACAGCCTACTCTGGTAGAATTAAGATCTTCCCAGATTGGAGCGCCAACATGTTTCTTGGTAAGGATTATAGATCAGATTAGATATGTTGCCGGTGTGCATGGGATGGCAGGGAACCATGCAGATAGGTGGGGACTTTCGCACTTAGAACCTCCTGAATCACAACTTACACTGATAGAATCTTCCCAGGTTGGAGTGCCAACATGTTTCTTGATAAGGGTTTGATAGACCATATTAGGTATGTTGCCTATGTGCACGGGATGGCAGGGAACCAGGCAGATAGGTGTGGGACTTTTGCACTTAGAACCTCCTAAATCACAGCCTTTTCTGGTAGAATGAAGATCTTCCCAGATTGTGTTTGGAGCGCCAACTTGATTCTCAGTAAGGGTTATGTAGATTAGATTAGATGTTGCCAATGTGCACGGGATGCAAAGGAACCAGGCAGATAGGTGGGGACTTTCCCACTTAGAAGCTCCTAAATCACAGCCTACTCTTGGTAGAATTAAGATCTTCCCAGATTGGAGCGCCAACATGTTTCTTGGTAAGGATTATAGATCAGATTAGGTATGTTGCCTGTGAGCACGGGATGGCAGGGAACCAGGCAGTTTGGTGTGGACTTTCGCACTTAGAACCTCCTAAATCACAGCCCACACTGGTAGAATTAAAATCTTCCCAGGTTGGTGTGCCAACATGTTTCTTCATAAGGGGCTTATAGGTCAGATTAGATGTTGCCTATGCGCACGGGATGGCAGGGAACCATGCAGAACCATGCAGAACCACGCAGATAGGTGGGGACTTTCGCACTTAGAACCTCCTAAATCACAGCCTACTCTGGTAGAATTAAGATCTTCCCAGATTGGAGCGCCAACATGTTTCTTGGTAAGGATTATGGATCAGATGAGATGTGTTGCCTGTGTGCGCGGGATGGCAGGGAACCATGCAGATAGGTGGGGACTTTCGCAACTTAGAACCTCCTAAATCACAACCTACACTTGAATTAAAATCTTCTCAGGTTGGTGTGCCAACATGTTTCTTCATAAGGGTTTTAAAGATCAGATTAGATGTTGCCCATGTGCACGGGGTGGCAGGGAACAATGCAGAACCTTGCAGATAGATACCTTTTTCCCGAGAGCGCCTGCGAAGGGTTCTTCGTAAAAAAGCAGCCGTTATACTAGATCTTCACACCTTCACACCTGCAGATCTAGATCTTCACACCCTCACATCTGCAGATCTACATCTTCACACCCTCACACCTGCAGATCTACATCTTCACACCCTCACATCTGCAGATCTAGATCTTTACACCCTCACATCTGCTGATCTACATCTTCACACCTTCACACCTGCAGATCTAGATCTTCACACCTTCACACCTGCAGATCTAGATCTTCACACCCTCACATCTGCAGATCTACATCTTCACACCCCTCACACCTGCAGATCTACATCTTCACACCCCACATCTGATCTACA